CTCTTTGTGGAGGGTGTCAATGATTGTCTTCTGGACCATTACCAACTCAGCAGTCTTCCCCATTATTGTGGTTTCAAAGAACAAGAGATACCCGGAATTTATACTGTAGGGATGGTCATTTAATGAAACTCAAATGTAAATATTCTAATATTTTGAGATACTGGATTTTTGACTTTCATGAGCTGTAAGCTCTAATCATCCAAACTGAAACAAAAAAAACTTTTTAAATGTTTTACTTCACATGCAATGAATCTAGAATATATGAAAGTTTCAATTTTTGAAGTAAAAAAAACAGTGAAAAAAAAAAAAAACTTTTTCACGATATTCAAATTTTTTGAGATGCACCTGTAAATAGCACCCATGTTATGAAAGATGAAATATTTCTTTTAATTTTACTATTAACTTGTTTACTTCAGGCTTGGCCAGCTACAGAGAAACTGGTGGCTAGACAAAAGACAAACGACCAATCCTGAGCAGCGACATCACTCCAGGAATTCTACAGCACGGTTCAGTGTGTTCGGCTAAGAATTCTGGATCAAGAACAGTTAAAGGTGCTGTATGTAAGTTTTTGACTCTACTAAAGCATAAAAATACCATAATGTGTTTGCAGATATTTAAGAAACATGCTAAGTTAACATACTTGTTTATCTGAAAAACAATGCTACAGTCAGTTATTCTCCTTTGAAAATGTGCGTTCCGGGCCGGAATGTTGGTCTCTGTTTTGGTTTGTGAAACCCGCCCACTGCCAGTTTACCCAATTGTATTTCAGCACCCCGGGTTGCCAGCTGGCAGAAAACAGAGCGTATTTCATTTCATTCATCGTCAAGTGCGCTTGTTCCATTTGTATACCTATTAAACTTTATGTAAGTTATTTGTTATTTTATATTAGGCATAGCCTGCCCGATAGCATGGTGTATTTTTATTTGTTTTGTTAATAAAAGTTCTATGTTTTATATATAGGCTAAAGTGAGTTTGACATTGTATTTTGTTGTTGCATTCAAGCAATTGACGCCGAACTGCCGCTAATTCGTGTCAGAGTTTTGGGTTAATATCTTCATTCGTGTCATGAAGATGCACACTTTTTTATGGGATAGAATGACAGGAGGGAGATTAAATGGCATAATTTTAATTTTTGGTTGAACTAGGTATATAATCAACATTAATCTTTATAAAAGTATCTCAGTAATATACCAGCAAATACACAGGAAATGTTTCCAAAATTATGTGCTGCTTTAAGGTGTAACTATGAGAACTTACAAAGCGGGTTAGTTGTAGAAGTATGTGGGGTGATAATGAAGTAAAACAGGTAGGCCTCAGATGGGTGTGTAGTTCTGTCAAATCTGGGTTCTAGAAGTAAAAAAAGAAAAACAAATTTTAAGACATTCAAAAATTACAGTACAAATATGTTTGTCAAAGTGTCAATGAAGAAGTCATTGACGCTGTTTATTTTAAATATCATTATTAAATATAATAAAAAAATATTGAAAACATTTAAGGTAGCAACATACATTTTTAGGGGTTGTAGGGTGTGAAGTGTTTTCTTAGATCTATGAAAAAAATAAAAGAAATACAGTGGTTACATGTATACTTCATCCGCAAGAAATTATTTGAAATTGTAAATAAAGTGTAGCACATGATTGAGTCAAAAACTGCTCTACTGCTGTATAAGAGATTAAAAATGAAATACCTTACCTTCAGTGTACTGAGGCCGGTGTTCACCGGTGTTCACCAGACTGCTGTTCAGAGAAGACAGCTGCCACAAGCACTTGTCCTAAATATGACAAATAATTATTCAGTTAAAGGCAAGTTCCACTATTGTTGTGAATTGTAGATTACAGACACATTCATTCCTTGATATTTGCATACTTTACAAGAAAGAAAGAACATTTCTATACATATCTACTTGAGGCCT